TAAAATCTGAGAAAAGACAAAAATTCGTGCTATTTATATTTATTTTCAGTGTTCGATAAGCCCCTGGATAGGACTTTTGTTAAATCACTAAATAAATTCACTATACCAGGTGATTGATAAGTCCCTGGGCAGGACCTTTTTTATATCTCCGCTAGTATTGGTTTTTATTATATAACGATTTCTAATCATTGCGTTTTTTTTTATATATCATAGTATAATAATTTATTTAGTGATTTAAAAAAAGTCCTGTCCAGGGACTTATCAAACACGCGGAAAGAATCATTTTAGTGGGCAAAAAAAAGGTTTTTTTTGGAATAGGTATTATATAGAGCTGTAATGTTGGCGGAATATAATATAGAATATTCGAGTTTTATTAGTAGATTAAATTTTGGTGTACCTTTTTTTAAAAAGTTAAAAATAAAATTTCTCTACCAATTTTGGATTTAAACAAAACTGTAAGAGAAATTTTTAGCTAAAACTATTTCAAATGCGAAAATTTTGTTTTATTTTCCGTATGTTTAAGTTTATGTAGCTCATTTGTTGATCCTGTATACATACATATGTACGTGCACGCGCTCGTAATTTCGTAATTACGTATATGCGCTAATCTTTTATTTAATAAAACTATACTAGTGGTGATATAAAAAAGGTCCTAGCAAAAACCCGGTGTACTTAGTCACGAAATTTCTGACTTATAACCCTAAAATAGTGTATCCTTTTCACTAATTCTCTCCAAGGCATATCTAATAAGACATCTTAAAAATAAATTTCTTAACCGTCAGTGAAAAATTATAGGGCAAATTACTCGAGCTATAATTTGATGTATACACTCTTTAGAAAAAATCCAGCATTTCACTCCACTTCTGTCATTTTCGGGATTTTCGTCATTTCCCATTTTCTAAATGAAAATAATAAAATTTTAAATATAATATTCGTTTACTATATCATTTGTAGAGTACCCTAGATTTTGAAAAAGTTTGACTACTGATACTGAGTCAAATTAATTTGACTTCACGTATGCATATCAATATAAGCTAGAGTTATTATGATAATTATGAAATACATATGTCCTGATCTAAATTATGATATACTCTGTACCCCGAACCTGACGTCTACCCAATTTTTCAGTATATCTGCTTAATTTCCCTATCTAAAATGCGCTGTAATGACTTTTGATATATTACATAGGAATGAATAAATAATTATCATGGATGATGCTGAAATTGGAAGATGCTAAATTTTGACCTATTTTGATATAAAACTTTAAATTTTTTGGAGAGTATTTTTATCGATATTTTTTTGCTTAGGTTAAGATTTAGGGTTAGAATTTATAATTAAAAGTACCGTATATGTGGATTTTAGCAGTGATTATATTTTAAAATCGAGACTCCAAATTTTAGTATCATCCGATTATGATCATCCGCGACAATAATTAATGATAATACGTGTCCTGCTGATGTAATCATTTCTGCTGATGTAATCATCCTGATGATGTAATAATTACTGGATCATGTATATATTTGGAATTATGTTGAACATCCCGTTGATTTGCAGAATGGATTATTTCAAATATTGAAGAGCATACTGTATTTTTCACTCTATAAGATTAGGCCCTAAATTTATCCTTGTTGAAGTCGCTCATGCCATTATTACTAAAGGTGAAATTCTTTCAAGATACTTTGCGCAGCGTCTTCTCATTCATTACGGAGAATATGATCGGAATAAGGTCTCTCATATTATAAGGCAAAAGCGATCTGGGAAAAATACAAAATAATACTCCCTGGGCTAACAGCTTACCGATTACTGGTTGTATATTTTTAATCACAGAAGCTTACAATATTTTAAAGATAAATTATGCATAAAAGGAAATTATATAGAACTTTTTCACTTTCTCTCGGGATGTCCTCATACTATTAATTGCGCACCAGCACTTTTTAAAAAAAACATTTAGATGAAATCAGTGATTTAATATTGATTATGAAGTTTATACCATTTCCACCAAGAAAATCTTATGGTATGCAAATTAATTCCTCAGAAGACTATCCACAAAAGATGATCATAAAAACTATAGGCAACTTAATGTTATTGCTAGAGCAATTTTAATCCATAAAGGTCTAGTAAACCTATGGAAATAAATTGGTTATTATTAAATATGTGAATATGTTAATGATCTTGTAATGCAAGGAGCTCTTTAATTCTATTCCCTGCATCACAACCTCATGGATAAACTAAACCTGAAATTAACGCTGTCAATGAACGACTTTTAAAATTAATTGATTTGGGATTCAAATTAAATTATGACATTATCATCGAAATTTTTCATTTTCTCGAATGTCGATTAGATGATGTTGGAAAATCCTAATAGATTATTTTAAAGAAATTAAGCAAGAAATACAATATAATTTTCTATATAGATGTTTGAGTGAAACCCAAAATCAAAACATTATAAATTTTCTTCCGAAATTGGATTTCAAAAAAACTTCAAATATTATCAAGAGTTTGAGGTACCTTAGATATGGACAATTAAATTTAAATTATTGAATTTTTGCATAATATAAATTATTAAATTGGGATCTCTTGCAATATAGGTGACACCAGTGTTCGAAATTAGTTTTAGCAGAGTTCTCATGAGACTTAAGTTTGTGAACAGTAAAAATTTTTTACTGTTCACTAAAAAAAATTTTTTGAGAACAGTAAAATAAAATTAGTGTACTAGTCAGTAGCAGATAGATGGATGATTTAAGATATAGCAGAAGTTATATCATTAATTTATATTGTTGGTTTTGTTTTAATATAAACTGTAGTTTGAGAACACTTACGTCTATTGTTCTGTTTTATGAGAACAATAATTGAGTCTGAGATTTCGATCATTGAGTTCACTTATTCTAAATCAATCGATTAATAATATATTGGGCTGCCGTCAATAGAAATCAAGTAGATTGACATTTTTAAAAAAATTAATACTTTAGCTTTTAATACTCATATCTCGATGAATTTCGAAGCCATTCTTATGAATTAATAGTCAGATAAAAGCTTAAGACCTATGTTTTTCTTTGACTATTAATCATGAAATTAGCTTCAAAACTCATCGAGATATGAGTAGTGAAAGTTAAAGCATTAAATTTTTTTTAAAAAGGTCAATCTGCTTATTTCTATTGCGGCAGCCCATTTATTAATAGTGTCACCTATATTGCAAGTGATCCTTAAATCGTATGCATACATGTTTTATTATCAAATAAATATTAATTTATTAATAAATTACAAAGAATTATGAAAGTTCTTTTTTTTTATTTCATAAATCTATATTGCATATTTTTACTTTTTATTAATCAACTATTCAGACTATATATTTTAACAAACATAAATCTATCAATAATCAAAAATAAAATGCCAGTACTGTATATTTACAAGAAACTTTTATAAAATTGTAATTTTATTGGAAAATTTAGAATTAGAGTAAAATAAATAATGATAAGGTTATTAAATTATTATTACAATTAAAGTATTCTTTTTTTGCTTTAAGTGATACTGAAGAAAAACTAGATATCAACCTTTAAACTAATAAATTGCCAGACTCAATCTTTAAAAATCTAAATGTTGAAGTTTAGTAAGTTATAAATTTAAAAGTCAACGCATGTTCTAATTAATTTTGGATGATTTATTGAATATATCAAAAAAAATCCATTAAATAAAAATAATCAACTATTTGGGTTTATAAAATTATTTCATGTCTAACTCATGAAATAACTTATACAACTAAAGATTATAAAAAAATTCTGATTGCAAAATATGTGCATATTACAGGATGCATGGTATCAAAGAGACTGATGATTATATGAAAAAGGTTCAACTTTCTTATAACCTTTATAAGTATTGTCACATTTATTAGTTTTGTTATCTTCACTAGTTTCCATGTTCACTAGTTTTTCCACTGTTCGTTGAAACTAGATTTCGTATAACAACTGTAGTTGATATCTGAAATTGGTATTTGACTAAATTATTCCTGAAATTAGATCATCTTGTACATAATAGTGTTTTAGATAGTGTAAGTTCAGGTAAGTGTAAACTCAGGTTCCTAAAGTTGCTGATTCAGAAAGATGCTAATTTTAGGCATGACAAATTTTGAAATTAGGTATACATAAAACTTCGGTATAGTTTCTGATCTTAGCAAATAATTTTATAGAATACAATAGCTTACTCCAATTCGAACCATTACGTCAATAAGTTTATTTTATAAATTGGAAAGAGTTATATATAAAACTTTTGAGTGTTGTTTTCTGATTGAAGAAAATAATAATTGAACTCAATCTGATGTCTTTATTACAATAGCAAAATTTATTGCCTTTATATTTTCGCACTACCATGTAGATACACTCTAAATAAATTTACTAGATCTCCTATGCCAAATCTTTCTACTATATGCCTCTATGATTTCGATAATAAATACTTAAAGATTTTGACCTTTGATAAATACCATAGGAAATGTAACCTAGACCAATGACATAAGAAAATATCTGATTTCAAATCATTAATATAGTCTTTATAAAGCATTACAAAATTTAACTTACAAAATTTAACCAATTACTAAATTTTAATTATTAATCACATTGAATATGCAATTATAAGCATTATTTTTTTGAGCAACCATAAAAATTAGGTTAAATAAATTTAAGAAACATATTTTATTTAAAAACCTTTTCTTAATTTGATTGAATAATACAATCAGACTTCTCTAAATGTACCCAACATAAGCATGAACATTAAGAGATGCACCTTTGTTTGTGCACTTAAGGAAATCTAATTGTAATAATTTATAATGTAGTGAGGAATACTTATCTAGTAATTACTTTATCCTAATGTTTCTTCTAAAAACATCACATATTCTGTTTATATTCACTAGAGTATATATTTAATTAGAAAGAAGTGAATCATTCGTTATGAAACATTTGTCCTAAAGGTGAAATAATTTATACCTAATACTAGTAGATACTAATTGACTTTCATGACGATTGTCTTAAAGTTGCTTTTTTATGATTATCTTTACGAATGATATTTGTAATAAAATCAACGGTTGTTTCCGACGATAAATTCTCAAGTATGTCTAAGATCTCGCTTGATGTTGGACGCTGTTGTGGTTCAGAAGTCCAACATTGCTTATAAAGATTAGAATAATTTAATGGTGTATTGTCAATCGTTCTTTCTCTTTTGTTCTGCAAAATTTCTAAGATTATGGCCATTTCCGGAATATTATGAAAGGGTGGAATTCCGCTTGTAAGTTCCCAAAGCAAGACTCCTAAACTATAAATATCTGATTTCATATTTAGTTTATCACCATTCCTGAGATACTGTGGATCAACATATGCTGGTACACCCATCATAACTGAGCTTGAAGCTGTAGTATCATTTAATTGTTTTGATATTCCAAAATCTGAAATTAAAGCTTTACCCTCATTAATTAAAATATTATTAGAATGCTAAAGGATTTATAAAGATATTTAGAACTATGATTATTTTATTTTTAATTTGGAAAATTGATCTTTGATGTTAAAAAAAGAACTTACAAGATCTCGATGAATAATATCTTTGTTGTGCAAATACGTTAATCCGAGAGTAATTTCCTTCGCAATTTTGATAAGCTCAGTCCATGAAATTTTATAAACATCCTTTACACATTTTCTTTTCAAATAATCCCGCAGGTTACCACCATTAGCAAATTCTAACACCAACATAAAATTACCCATTTGTGTACCTAAGATTATTAATTAATATAATGTGAGATTACATTTTCTAAGACATGATTTAAAAAATTCTTTAAATAAAATATTTAATCGTACATCTTGAAATTCCAAAAAATTTTATAATGTTGTCATGATTAACTTCATAATGAAGTTTAAGCTATAGACAAGTTATATCATTATAATATAGGAATCATTTTAATTTTAAAAATTAAAAAGTTAAAAGAAAATAATAAATAACTTACCTCTCTTCTGACTCTTTTTAGTGCCTTTTCATCAAAACTTAGATTATTGTTTAGACTCTTTAATGCATGTTTTTCTTTTTTAAACAATGCTGAATATACTACTGCACACCCTCCTCGTCCGATAATTTCATGATCTTTATATTGACTATAATCAAAACTTTTTATGCCAGTTTTCTTCAAATCCTTTTCTAATTGTTCTGAAAATTCAATCACTAATATCAAAACATTCAGAACATTACCATTAAATATAAAAAAATTAAATGTTAAATTATTATATATGTTATAAAACTTACATGCTTTTTCAGGCTTTTGCATATTTTGGATTTATCAGAAAAATAATGAAATTGAAAAATAAACAAAAAGAGAATACGTAATCGGATATATTGTATGCGTATTACATTACCTTATATGGTCGCTCTGGTCGATTATACCAAATCTGGGGTCGTCAGCATAACGGGTTTTCATTCTAATTGGCTAATTTTTTTAGATCATCTTATGACATTACAAAATCTGATTGGTTAATCGAAAACAAGTTCGAAAGTAAAAAAAATCTTGGAAATTATTAGACAAAAAGACATATTTACACTAGAAATTTGAAGTTACAATCACCATTGATCTTTACAGTCATTATCAAATGCGTATCTGGTAAGACTTAATAAAAAAAAGTCTTTAAATACATATATAGATAATATTTAGTGTGACGGGTTTAATGTCGAGTTCAGAGATGGGGGCAAATGCGACGGATTGTCGCTTGAAAAATGGTTATGCCGCGTAACGTTCCTCAAAGATAACAGAGGCGGTTTTACGATTTGGCACAAGGTCAAGGCGATCGTAGAGGAGCGTTA